GGTTATGGTCAGAGGGTTTAAATGGGTACCCCCCTAGTTGGGGTACAGGTACGACAGATAGTGTAGAACCTTCGGGCAGACTACTTAAATTAAGCACTCAAAAGGTGCACGTGTGGCTATATGTACTCTTACTATAATTGAAAAACATAACTATCTAATAAAACGTTCTCCGGCCAAAGAGGTCACCTTAATACCAGAAAAAAAAAAAGGAAATTTTTTCAACTCTTCTTGACAATCACTTTTTTTTCACAAAAATCCAAAATTCTTAAAAAATACAAGCATCTGTAAAAGTAGAACAGTCTAGGAAGTAGTCCTTAAGCTTCATAACTCAGCAGCTGTTATTTAGAGGTAGTTTTTATATGCTACTTGCTAACTTTCTCAGAGTTTATCACTCACCATGGGGGCTGGGCACTTGTTGTTTAAAAATAGTTCTCATATGCTATTTGCTAACAAGCTCAGAGTTTATCACTTACCTAAAAAAATAAGGAGAGTACTAGCGCCTTCCTATGGATTCAGTATGTTGAGTAAAGAAAATATACACTTTTTTATTAAACAAAACAAAGTGGTTTCATCTCTTTTCTCTGCCTCCTCGCTACTCTTTCAAAATTTCTCACAAAAGTGGGCAAAACAGCTTACTTTCTCCAAAAGATTGGCATTGTTTACACCTCCCAAATCTGAACAGTTCTGGCAGACTGCGATCACGTGTCTGGTTTGTTTTGTTTATAAACCATGCTGCTTCACATAATACCAAGATTGGCTGCTTATGTCATTTAGGAGTCTGGATAATTTAGTCAGAAAATCTATTTGATAAGGTGAAGCTTTATACTAAAGGTATACAAATATTGTATTTGTTATATAATTTTTTACAGCTTAGCATGGTAATAGCAGTGCTAAAAAGACAGAATTTTTTGCTATCTTTTTTGTTTTCTTTTCTTTGTAATTTTTTCTTTTATATTCCCTTTTGTATTTGTTTTCTTTTTCTATATTCTTCTTTGTTTTTTCTTTTTCTCTTTTGTTTTGTTTTCATTTTATTTGTATTTTTTGTTTATTACCCCATTTGTTGTATATTCCTTTGAAGAAGAAAAAAAATATTAAGAAAAAGACAATCTTGACAAAGCTAGCAATAAGCTTTTAGTGATTTTTTCGGAAAGCCATCTAGCAAGTTAGATGCTGGGAATAAATAAATTATTGCTACTACAGATTGCACTTGGACACTATTACGAGCAGCCAAGTGAGTCTTTATTGAAGAGTAGGAGGGTGGAAGGCACTGAGTTTATTGCAGGCTTTTTATTTAGAAACCATGTATTTAGATTATGCACTCCTAATACAATAAAGGCAGGATTGCTAAATTAAAAAAAAAAAATTTAAATCAATAAAATTTTTAATATTAATTAAAATAATTGTGATTTTTTAGTTTTTACTTTTTAAAATAAACAAGCTAAAAAGAATTAAACAAATTAAATATTATAATTAGTAAAATCATTTAAAAAAAGCCCATACTGCTAATAAAAAATTAACAATTAAAATTCTAATATATCTTCTTTATCTATTATTGATACAAACACTATAGATTTTGCAACTATTAATATAGCAATTGCTACTCAATCTGAAAATAATATTAATATAATTGCTACACAAACTAAATTTACTATTAATATAGTTGCTACCCAAACTAAAAATATTGTTAATATAGTTATTACACAAACTGAAAATATTGTTAATATAGTTGCTATACAAACTAAATTTTTTGTTAACATAGTTGCTATTCAAACTGAAGTTATTACTATACAATTTATTAAAATTCAAGTAAATTAAACAAATAAACTAAATTCAAAAGTCCAATTACTTAACTTATTTAATTAAATTTATTTATAACCAAAAGTATAATTTAAAATTACTACAAATATAGCAAATATATATATATATATATTTTTAAATTCGGCAGTCTTGCCAATACTGTTTATTAGTACGCTGAGGTATTTTGGTTACAAATATCACATGTACAATTACAACACTCTAATGTATTATGAGTATTGACTCACCTAGTTACTAATTTAATACCTATGTGCGACCTGCTATATGAGATTTTATCTCCTTAATAACTGCCCTGCAACCAGACCAATTACTAAATCACCAGATGGTTCTCAAACCTATTTTTATCACATATATCCCACTTATATTCTACTGTACAACATCCACCAACCAACTTCTATCCCTCATCACTTATCACATTACTTCTAATTCGGTACTTGTATTACTTCCAAATTGGTGTCCTTCGAGTGGGCGCTCTTCGTGCTTCTAGTTTGGTGTCTCTAGAAGAGTTACTTTATAGGCCTAGCTATATTTCAAACAGTTAAGTTGCTAAACTAGGATGATATTTCACGTCAATTCAGGTATTCGCATTGTACACCACCAAATTAGGCTACTAATCCTTTTATAGTACTCTCTATTGGTATGGTGTTACAGAAATTCAGATTCTTAGGACAGGAGTTTTGTATCTTATTTAATCACTGTCACAAGCCAGTGATCCAAGAACTATGCTTCTGCCATATTTCGTCATAGATTTCCATATAGGTTGTGCGACTATTACTCCCTAGCCTGTCTTTATTTTTGTACCACTGGATCGCTTGCTTCCATGCTTTTCAGGGTTTCTTTCAGCCAGTTTTTATTGTTTATTTGTGCCAGAGGTGTTCTATATTTGGTAAAGCCATCCTCTTACCACAGCCTCTTACTATGTTCACCGCTTCTCTCATCACTTCTGGAAATACCGCATACAGCTATCTTCCCAATCAAGATCTCAATGCCATCTTAGGGTTGTTGGTGCTACCTTGCTAATCGTGAATTCACATGCACAGCCTTCTGCAATAAACCTTCTGTGACCTATATCACACATAGTGCCCAGTCTTCTCCATGGCTCAGGGCTCCTTCCAAGAATTCTTTATTGGCCAAATATATATACATAGTCTTATCGCCACGGGGTTCCGCATTCAAAAGCTCCTGAAGGTTACGGAGATAATTAGCTATAATCAAACCATCGATCTCGTCTGTGGAGGGTTAGGCACCTAGACCACTAGGCTACAGGACTCTAACCCTAATATAGCAAATATTTTTAAATTATATTATACAAACAAATTATAATAAATTATTATTGGCTTTTTTTTAATACAAACTATGTGATATAAAAAAAATCAAGATTTTTTCAAAATATTTATAACAAAAAGCAGCAAATCTTGTAGAAATTTATTTTATCAAACAGAATATAATATTAATGAATATAGTATTACAATAAAATTTTTAGAAAATCAAATAATAGTTTAACCCATTAATTAGATAAAATTAAAAATAAAAATAAATTATTAAATGGTAAAATTAGTAAGTTTAAACAAATTCAAAAGTAGCAAATATCTAAAACTAAAAGTTATACTAAAGAATTAAAAACTGTAATTAAACAACAATTAATAAAAAATAAATATTAATATACGGCAAAAACAATACAAATACAACAAAAGTTTGTCAAATTGGTAAAATATCATATAGATCTGCTGTAAAATACATTAAAGCAATAGTTGAATAGTTTATTGATAAAGAGCCTAATAAATAGTTTTTAGTAAGTACTTTTATTAGATAGCATAAAATGTTACAAAAATTTATTCTAATTAACAATCCAATATAATTAGAACTCTAAATATTCAGCTTATAAAATAATAGCTAATGAATCTAAAAGTGATCAAATCTCAATTTGTAAGTATAGTCAATTTCTAGATTTAGTATTTTAAATGAATAAAATATAGTTTAGCACAAATATTTTACAATTAACAGATAGTGCTAGACTATATTGGTCATAGGGCAATTTCACCTGGTGCTAATAAAAAAAAACGAGTAGAATATATATGATGCAAATATTTTTTGTAATATTTTTTTTTATAGATAGTTAATTAATTCTGATTTTTATAAAATAGGCTTGCTAAGCAACTCATGCAAAAGGAATTCTTGCTACATGTTGGAACAGAGTTTGAATACTCAGAAAAAAAATTCTATAATTTAAGTTATATAATTCACAAGCTTCTGCTTGACACTTTTTATTAACAATTAAATAATTCTCATTACTAAAGGAAAAAAAGATTAGATATGGCTGATGCTTTTTTACATAATATATTTTCAATTGTTTATAAGAAAATGATCAAAGAAATAACTGAATATATTAAGAAGGTTAGTTTAACTTTTATATTATTATTTATTTTTTTGAAAATTTATTATTAATTTTTTTAAATTATTTTTTAGGCCTTGGCAAATAGCTGTGAATTTGACATAACTACAACAATTAAGCTACAAATAATTACTAATAGGCTAAGATATTCTAAAGAGACTAGAAATTGGGGTGTCTAAAAAAAGCTGATACAAGTATAATATATACAATACTGCATATATTACAGGTTATAAAGGTGGAGCTATTATATTATTTAATAATAAAATATTATTAAATTTATTTAAAATATCATGTGATATATATTCAGTATATATTATAATAACTCATTTTAAAAATTCTGTATTTAGTAAATTAGATATTGATACTAGATACTCTAATTAAAAACATCTATTTAAAGTTGTACAAACAACTCTTTCTACAAATTCCTAATACAAAATTTACTTAAATTTGTTCAACACAAAACATCTATTTACACAAAATTTTATTATGCTAATTGGTTGATATTTAGTATAGGTGGGAATATATAAATAATATAACAGTCACACGATTTGTCACATATAAATTTATATATATATAAAATTATAAAAAAAACATATAAAATTACTATAAACTTTGATTCTGT